TTCCATACATCTCCATATCATCACATTAATTTTTCGGAAAATTGCAATTTGTATTTGTATTATGGAGAAAATTATTTTGGAAATCTTGAATTTTTAAAAATGATTTTCTACTGTAGTAAACTTCACAATATTCAATAAACAATTACGTAGTTCATATAGTTTTTATAAACATTAGAAGTGTTTGATGCAACTTCCGCTTGTAGGGCACGTCAGGGGCATTGCGTAGCAATATTCAGCAAATGCCTGCTAGCATTGCAGTGAACAATTGTCTTTGGCTAATGTTCTTGATGTGCTATACAAAGGAAACCACGATTTAAAAATAAAAATCAATTTTTTTCAACTAAAAAACAAAAACAAAAAAAAAGAAGTTGGGATTTTACATGTTGTGTATCTAAATGCTAAGTAAAACATAAAAATTTATTATTTTACGCAATTCCTAATAAAGAAACATTGAAGAATAAAAAAATATTAATTTCTTATAATAATTTTGACATGCTTTTACATCCTTTCAAATATTTTTTTAATCATAAACTAAAAATAAAATGTATTTAAACAAGGTAAAATCTTATTGAACCAGTTTTCATTTTTAAATTTAATTGATAGCACAAAAAAGTCTTCATTTTTGTATGGAACAAAGTCAATTTCGCTCTTTTCTGTAAAAGCTTTGATACCTTGACATTGGTAAAATTAACTGCTTGATTTTTAGTTTTTGTTGTCTATTACTATTTCCATAAAAAAAGTTTTACTGGTACAATAAAACATTTTATATGGAAATATTTATACGCAAAGATTTTTTTTTTTTTGAACCCAAAGATTTATTTTTTAAAAAGAGCACTTTACTTCAATCATTTTGTAACTGTCTCAGTTAATACACAACCAATCAAGTCTAGAACCAGTCATGGCATTTAGGATTTATAACAAAATTACATTTTGAAGCATCATAGTTAACTTTTTCTTTTTCTTGTGATTGTAAACTACTATCAAAGTTTCTTAACAATGAAGATGGAGGAGTATTATTTCTACGGTTTATAACTGTACCAAATTCGATGTAGTAAGTTTTTTATTTTGTTTATCAATCCAATATTGTTTTTGTATTGATCTTTAGTTTCTGATTTAATCTATATAATAATTCTGAGCTTAATACTAGTAGTGTTCTTTCGAGCATGTTTGACACAGAACTCTCGGCAGCCATTGTAACCGAGGTAATGGCGAAAAAGAGTCGCATCACTATGTTTATAAGAAAATGTGAACGAAAGTGTATGCAAATATCTAACGTATGTAAACTTCAAATTATCTAATGTTAAAACATATATAAACATGCATCAAGTTTTGCAGTTTGACTTTCACTTAAAAATTCCAACCCCTCTCCTTAATTTTGATCTATAGCATTTATTTCTGTTAAAAAAAAATGATTATATAATTTTAAAATTTCGTAAGACAATGTGTCAGCATGGCAGAGTGGTTAGCGCGCTAAGCATCTGAATATTATCTGATAATATTAATACGCTAGTAGTTAATAGCCGACTTACGTCATTTTCTAGACTTTTCTATTTTAAAGTAGTTTCTAAGCTTTTCTATACGCGGTTTTTTTTTTTTTAATTTTATTTACTAACAACCCGTATTACGGGTTGCTTATTGCTAGTATACATGGTTCGAGTCCAACCACTGATGACTTTTTTTTCTTTTTTTTTTTTCTAAATACAAAATACTTTTTAAATAGAATATACATATAAAGTTTTATTGAAATTAAATACAAGTATAAGTAAGAATATTAAACACTTTAACAAACGAAAAGATTTTTTTTAAAAAAGCTAGAAATTCTAAAAATTTGTTGCGTATACGTATATTAATCATGACACATGATTAAGATACGTAAGTTGTTTTAGTTTTACATTTCAATTTTTTTTTATAACTAAGTTGAGTTAGTACAAGAAAAATGACTATACAACATGTTTATTTATAGAATATAAAATGTATAAGAATATGAAGTTGTTTTGATTTCCATTTTAAATAACAAAAATTAAAATAATAACCAAACTGATGATTTGAACTTGCCACGCAGCGACCTTAAATTTTTTAAAAGGTAAGGGGGTTCAAAAAGTTTGTTTTTAATATGAACAAAATTGAAAATTCTTATTTTATATTTAAATTAAACCGTTTTATTAAATATATTATTTTAAAAATGAGAAAACTTTTGAATTTTATTTTATCAATTAGAAAACTTTTTTGCTATATTTTAATTTTTTTGCTATAAATATTGCTATGATTATTATGAATATATACTTTAATAAAAATTTTGCTATATATATTGCTATAAATACAGCGAGATTGAAAAGTATTCAAAAATTTTTTTTTTAATTTGTTATTTAGGTACCCCAAGAAGTCCTAATGGTCTTGTCACAGAGCACCGCGGAAGTGCATTTAACCAGGAAGTTTACGCCTCATTCGTTACCGTGACGTAAAATATGTTCAAAGCTCGCTTCAAACCTGGATCTTCTACTTATAAAGCAAGCACTCTAACCACTGCGCCACGGCCGCACAAATTTGTTAGGCTAGGAGTTTATCCCCCAAAACGACACTGATGACAGCGCACTAAACCGCTGGGCTATCAATGCGCGTTTAGGAGAAAAACAAACCTAACTATAAATCTCTTATAAGCTCTAGGTATGCGGAAAAGATGTGCATGTTAACTTCTTTGCTCTTAAAGCAATTTTTAAAAATGAATTATTTTACGTAAAAATAATGAAACAAATAATAGGTATAGAAATAATCATTGTCGAATAGATAAGTATAAAAATGGTAGGTTTGGTAAAGACCCATATAGTTTATGGGTCCGGAAAGCTAGGATATATATTTAAGGAAAAAGTATAGAAAAGGTCAGTTTGGAATATACTTATAAAGACAAGTATTTATTTGTGTCAGATTAGCTAGTTTGAATTATTTTCTCAACATTGGCTAACATTATGGCAAGCTTGAATTTTTTTTAATCAGTCAAATTAGTTTTAAATAAATGGTCCATACAATGTAGAATTTTTTCTATTATTATTAAGCTTTCATTTTTTAACTCTTTTTCATTTACTCGTTAATAAATATTACACAAAAATGATTTTGGACAAGTTTAATTTCAATAATTAACATAGTCATTGTCATTCCTTGGTTTAATTCTATATAATAAAATATTTTGTTTAACTCTTATCTATTTTACATAGTTCTGTTTGAATAGCTGATAACCAGCAATTTTAGGTTTAGCAGCCCTTCTTTAAAAATATCGTCTGATACTATATAAGTAAATATATGTTGATGTGTTATCGGAAACAAAGATGTTGTCTTTTGACCATTAAGTTACATCTGTAAAAATTGCTTTGTTTTCATCACTATGAAATTCCTCGTTTGAAATTAAACAAAACGTTGCATCCAGTGGAATCATGCTAGGGCTGTTAAGTATTTTTAACAATGAAAGCTAGAACCAACAGGAATATTTATAGAGTTAATTATATACTGTTTTACTTATGTATACTTAAAATATATTCCAAACAAGCCAATTCCAAACTCCAAACAATTTCAAACGAAATTCAAATACAATTACGTTGAAATATTTGTTTATATTACAATGCAGTTATTCTCCTGCGGAAATAATAAGATTTGTAACAGATTTTGGCGTAAATATAACTAATTATGAGAGAAAACTATTATCTACGTACGAGCAAGCCACGAAATATTAAAAAATTTAAAAAAACTATGAATCGCGAGTTCTTGATTTTCTGTACATACAAATACAATAATGAATTTTTAAAAAACTTAAATTTGCGCACAACGTAAATAAATATTTAGGTAACTTGTATAGTAAGACTTTTCGGAGATTGTTCCTGTAAAAAGCACTACCGGCATCAAAAAGACAAGAATTAAAATAATATAAAAATTTAACTTTTGATTTTGACAAAAATGAATAACATTGAAATAACCATTAACCTTGCATACTTAAAAAACTCAAAACCTTGCAGTCAACAGCATAAAAAAAAAAAAAAAAAAAAAAGCGAAAAGAATTATTGTCATTATTAAGTTTATATTTATATTACATAAAAATTATACAAATACACGATTAAACAGATCCTTTTAAATACAAAAAAAAAAAAAAAAAAAATCAAAATAAAACCCACAATAAAAAATAAAATATAAATAAAACTGATTAAATTTAAAATAAAATATTATATGGTGAATAACACGTTAAATATGTATATATATATATATATATAGCACTATATTACATACCAATGTCTCTGCATATAAACACACATAAATATATATATATAAACATATATAAACACACACACATATATATCATATATATGTATATGCTATAAACACATACATATTATATACACATGTATATACAGGTACGAAATACGTTGTAAAAAATTCAATTTTGTAAACCAAATGGGGGGATGAATCTAAAAGACACCTATATATATATATATATATATATATATATATATATATATATATATATATATATATATATATATATATATATATATATATATATATATTACTGTATACAGTAATACATGTTTATATTAAAGTATAAATTATTATCTCTCCATTTTATAATACTACTAAAATAAATAAACATTTAATTTACTAATGCATTAAATTTATACATTAAATAAAACAAGCAATTTAACAATTAAAGCACAAAATAGAAAAAAGGTATATATTAAAATATAAAAATTAAAACGCTCATTTATTGGAAACTTCTTGTTGCACCATGAACTATCAGCTGTGTATACCATTGTTATTTAGCAGATTGCATTTTATATAATTTGTTGACAAAAAATAATTTTGTAATACGCTAGTATTATATACAATATACATAAAATATAAAAAAAACTTAACACAAATGGTAATGAGCAGGTTTTTAGAAAACACTTTTGCGCTCATAAATTTTTATGTTATCATAAATTATTTGAATAAATACTAATCGAAATTTTGATTAACCAAAATTGAAATTGAAAAAACTATGATGCTAAGACTTAAGAAATGGTTTTAAAATTGAGATTTTAACTGAAGAAGCATCCTCATTTTCATCATCAGCAAACATTTCATCAAGTTGTAATTCATTTAAACTTTCAGGGCTAACATCAGTTTTAATGTTATCATCAACTCCTATTTTAACATATTTCAACTTGCTTCCTTTGTGATCTTCCTCGTGCTTACGTTTATGCTTACAATTTCTTTTCTGAGATGATCCTGACAAAACCTTGACAGGCAAATGAGCAGAAAGTGGAATTTCTTGAAAGTCTAAATTACGCACTAAAACTGGGGGTAAAGTATCAAATAATGGTGGTGTATCTTCCCCATCCTCTAAACTTAAAGTGCTATTTTCTGAATCATAGTACAAAGAATCACAACTACCAAACTCTTCATCAAAGAACAGTACAACAGCTGAGATATTGTCAGCACGAGAATGCCGTTTTTTCCAGAACTCCAGTGATTGGTTGCATAGTCTATTTAAACATATAAAAATATATAGACAAAAATATTTAAATTAAAAAAAATAATAAACATTATAGAAGCACAAATATATGAGGAAAAAAAAAACAATACACAGTTGCACAGTTTCTTTCTAAAGGCATTTCATCTGCGTTTCTTTCGTAGTTTGTTACTATGTCTACAGCTTGCTTTGCATTCATTACCCCCCACAAACCATCACTTGCTAAAATGAGAAATTTATGAATATCTGGAACAATGTCAATGCATTTGATATCAGGTTCTGGGGAAACAATGAATTCATTTCTTTCAGGATCAAAACTCCAAAAATCACCTATAAAATAAATACACTTTAAATTATTTTTTGTTCAATGTTAAACTAAATAATGAATACATTTAATGGTTACTACTACTAATAAATATAATAATAAACACAGCTAGCGGAATAAATAAAAACCCATCAGCAGAGCAACTATCACTAGCAAACACAGCTGTCAATGAAAAAAACGAAGGAAATAAAAGAGACAAAAATGTTATCATTAAAAAAAAACAAAAAACGAATCAGACATATTTATTATTAACATTAATGATTTGCTTGAGAACTTTGTAAATATTTCAAAGATCTATTCTAATGATGCAAAAGTATTATCAATGGTTGACTGTGAAGCAAGTATTAACTTATTGCAAAATGACCTACATAAAGCTGTCAACTGGTTCAACAAATGTCTGGCAAAGTTTAATTTTATGAGGTTATTCAATTATAACAAGTTAATCAATGGAAATTAAAAAGTAAATTTAATTAATGAAATTTTGCCAAGAAGTTATCAATCAGCAAGAGGTCATCTAATAAAGTATAATCATGAAAAAAAAAAACTTGTTTTTTGCTCTGCATTATTTTTTTAACAAACAGAGCTTCTTTTTAATGAAATCGACTACATACTGATGTTGTTAATGCTATTTATGTGAACTCTTTTAAAGCTAAACTTGACATATAAATTTTAAACAATGTAACGATGCTGAATAATGACATAGTTGTCTAAGTGTATTTGGTATACTCACCAATTACATTCATTATCCCTTACAACTCAAATATATTAGTATACTTAAATTAAAAAAAACAAATAACAATAAAAAAATTAATATAAATAATCATAAAATAACAGCTCAGTCTTCTATTTGTTTATTTAACCAGTTCAATGCAAAAAATAAATTTGCGGATTTATTAAGTTCTGGCTAATGTATTTGAATTTGATGAGATTGAAATATTATTCCAGAGAGTTCTTTATCAAGTAACTTTTTTTTTTTTTTTTTTTTTATTATTAAAGCAAAAAATAACAAAAAAATATTATTTACATAAATAATTTTCAGAGATCTTTTATAACTGGTTCCACTTTAATGAATATATGCATCTTTTTCATGCAATAAATATTTGTGTAACTATCATCATTACAATAGTCATTAATATAATAACAGTGCGAGAAAATTTATTTAGTTATTCTCATTACAGGTGCATTTTATATGAATGCCTAGCATGTTTTACAATATTTAAAGCATACTTGAGATTCATTGATTTCAATGTGAGATGTTCATCAGTTATTAAAGTTTAACCATTCTTAAATCATATCTTAAAGGTCTCTCAAATAACTATATGGTAATTTGTTATGGTAATCAAACTCTTATCTACCAGTCTCACTTTTTTGACAAGAAACTTAAGTAGAAAAATTACTTCTTGTGGTAAAACAATCAACATTTACTGTATATTTATTAAAACTCAAGTTATGTTAAGTTTAAATGCTTTATTTTTAAAATGTTTTTTAAGTTAAAAAAAAGATACATCTCCATTATTTTTTGTTAGTTAAAACAGAATGAAAATGTAAATTGAAAACATATTTATGCTAGTTTTTACCATTGTTTGAAAAGTTGCTATTTTATTGTTTGATATACTCACTTATCTATCAAAGTTAAGACTTAAAAATTTTAAATCTGGTTGATTTTAATTTAGCACAATTTTAACTCCTGTTCTATATGTGATTCTTAATTCACAGTGGCTTTGAATAAAGGCCAAAGAATAAAAGAAAAAAAAAAATTTATAACTTATTAAGGTATCTTACATAAAAAACATTTTTAAAATATTAAAACATTTAAAAAATTTTTCAATTTTGAGTCATTAATATAAATAAAGCTAAAACAAACAACAAAAATAACTATTTTAAACTTGGAGTTTGAATGGCAAAACAAATGACTGATTAAAGGCTAGGAAAATAATAAATTAAAAGGTGCCAAAAGTCAGCAACTAAACTAAATATGGGTCAAATCCATGGCTTTTTGAAACCAAGACCTATTACCTAAGGTGTTTTTTGAACTGGTTCCTTTGAAGAACACGGAATGTTTAGCTTGGAATAATTATTTAAAAAAATATTTGACAAGAGTTTACAACTTTTCATACAAGATATATATATTTTTTTTAAATCCAAAAAATAAAAATTGTCAATTGATTGAAATCAATAAGATAGGGAATATGACAAAACTGGTAAAGTTAGATCCAGTGCACCCTAAAGTACATAACAAAAGAAAGAAAATTGACATAAAATGTCAGTTGACATGGTCAAACTACCTCTAAATAAGCCATTAAGATAAGCACCATACTCACTATGATACAAATATGTATCAGTGTCAAGATCTTTCTAAACAGTTGAAGGTAAACAATTTAAGGTAAACAGTGACGTATACTAAAGCCATTTCAACGGCAACTGTTAAACTAATTTCTAATATGCTTAAATAATCAAAAATTTCACTTTCTTTTTTGCACCTCTTACCTCTGACAGTTGATGCAACTATGACCAACATCAAGTTGATGAATGTTTAAATAATCAAAAATTTCACTTTCTTTTTTGCATCTCTTGCCTCTGACAGTTGATGCAACTATGACCAACATCAAGTTAATGAAAGTTTGAATCATATTGTAAAAGTAGTTGTGAGCGTTCAATTGTAGTTTTTTAAAAAACTGAAATAAAATTTGTTGAACTTAAATAAAATATGCACCATCAAAAAAATATATGTTGAACTGAAATAAAATATGCACCTCCAGCACCCTTGATGCAACTTAACAAAAGTAATATTGTCTTTGATAAATCTACTATTAAAACATATTGTTGTCGGCAATCTGTAAGTGTGCAAATACAAATAAAACAAATTCTTTATTATTTAATTTAGAAACTTTTGATGTCAATTTTTGTAAAGTAGAAACACTGGGAAGCTGGTAATTATCTGATCATGTCTGTAGAATACAATATATCACCAATACCTGAGATTTTCATAGAAGGTAAACTTTCTATAAGAACTTTTTTTTTTTAATATTTTAACTTTAGTCGAATATATTATAGCTTTAAACAAACTTGACCATTTTTTTAAACTCCTTTCATGGTTTTTGATAAACTTATTATATAACATAATAATGTTTATTTTAAATTAGAAGAAAGATTAAATATAAATTAATAATAAATGCAGATAATAAAAATCAATAAAATTATTTTATAAAAAAACTTTCCAAATAATAACTTGAACAAAATTAGCATTACCACAATAAAATTAAGTTGATTGGAAAATAGTTTTTTCATCACACTTATATACAACTATTAATTTTAGTAAATCTTTTGGTATTTTTTTGGGTAAATACTAACCACATCATTATAATGCAAATTACACAGTTGTAAACTCTTCAAGATAATCAGCTTGTACGTTTCTTGCACTTGAAGCTGCTAAACTGTAGCTCTTGATTTTGGTGGTGCAGTTGGTACAAGGCTGGACTTAACACAATGAAATACAGATGGAGGAGAAAAGGGTCATTCTTTACCATAGACATTTATTTTTTCAAAATTTAAAAGAGAATGTTTAGAACAAACAACAGTATATTTGCTAGCACAAAGTAAGTGATTCTTGCTAACAATACAAGCACTCTTTAACTACAAAACATTTGCATAGCATGAACTTAAAAAAAAAATTAAAAACAGTTTTAAAAGCAAACAAATTGATTTCAATATGAAATAAAATTTTAAAACCTAGAAACATGCACAGTAGTGGCGCTTTAGCAAAATTAACAACTTTTTTTGAATAAAAAACATTTTTAGGGGTCATGCTGGGTCTCAAAAGAAGCAAAATTATATTTAACCTTTAAAAAATAATCATTATTTTATGAAAAAATCCCCCCCCCCCAAAAAAAAAAATTATAATCAAAAAATCTTGTGAAGTTATTTTTTTCTTTTATTTAAAAAACATCATTTTCAGTTCACTAAAATCTAAAATAATAATTTTTTTATAAAATGATGATTATTTTTAAAGTTGTTATATAATTTTGCTTCTTTTGAGACCCAACAGGACATACTTTTGAAAAACTTTTTTTTAGATAATATTAAGGACTTGTTTGATGTTTAAGGGTCATGTGGCACTCCTAAAAATATTTTTTATTCAAAAATTTTTCAAATACAGTATTATTTTATTATATAGAACACATTTGGGGGTGGGGGTGGGGTGGTGAGTGTCAGCAGACATTTTCAAAAAAAAGTTGTTTTTAGCACCACTCTCAGTCTTTTCCATTTGAAATTTACTGCCAGTGCACAAAAAAGCGCTGGTCAGACAGTAATTATTTGTGTGGCGTGCGCAATTAAAAAAAATATTTGTTTTTTGTACCTTTTTAATTAGAAGAAAAAAGATTTGTTGCAATTTAAAAGCACGTAAAAAAAAGTGCTGACTAAAGTATTGGCTGGTGTGTGGGTGAGTAAAAAACTGCAAGAGCCCGAAAGCGCTAGCCAAATGGAGAAGATTGCACCCTAATGCACAGTGAACTTAAAAAAAGGATAAACTTGGGCTTCATTACATACATCAACTGAGAATTAAATAGAATGTCAACAATGTCTGTGTCAACTCAGCAAATTATTAAAAAAAAATTACATCTATACATTAAAAAAGTATTTTCAAATTGTTGTGATGGCCAATACCATGGTAGATGACATGGGTTTTGAAGTGGGTGAGGGGGTGAGGGAGGGGTTGGGGCACAATTGTAAATTTTTAAAAAAGTTCTCTATATCTAGAATTTTTTTTTTTAAAAAAAAGGTCTTTTAGAAAAAAAGTAGAGAAGGCACATGCCCCCCCCCATGTCATCAGCCCTAAATACAAAAAAGATTTTTAAAACCTATGAACAAATCAAAATTTGGTTTTCACCATCTACCTTTTGGTTTCAACCACAACATATATATATATATATATATATATATATATATATATATATATATATATATATATATATATATATATATATATATATATATATATATATATATATATATATATATATATATACAGTGGTGTACACTGAATTTTTAGATGTTTTAGTTTAGACACTTACACGTATTGCAAACTCCAAACTTTTGTATGTTCATACTTATGTAAAATGAGAATGTTTTGCAAAAAGTTGTGGTGATTGGAGCTTGGGGACAAAAAAAATCCAATTTTCGGGCCCATCCAGCCCTTAACGTGGGAGTAACAAGTTGATAAAATATTTTTTCTACTATTTTCATCTAAATTTATATTCACCATTAAATTTTAAATTCCATGCAATAATCTCTTTCGATAATTAAAGCCATATAAAGCTTTAACCCCCTCAATTTGAGGAAGCTGTAAACTTTGCAGGGTCATAAAAACTGAACACTAATTTTTCATATTACAATTACATACAGACATTTAACTTATATAATAAATAAAGATAGGACAGTCCAAAAAGATAATTAAATCCAAAAGTGTTAGAAAAAATAAGGTTTTTTTAAAAATAAAAAACAAGGAAAGATGTTTTAGTTAAATTTAAAATTTTATACAGTTGGGTAAAGTTAGTATCTAAGTGTGTGCAAACATAAAAATAATAAAATAAAAAATACCTAGTGCTCTTGCTACTGCAAGAAATGGTATGTATTCATGCTGTGTAACAGAGTTTTCAGATGATATATAATGAGGATTTTTTAATGGTCGTTTCCAAACAACACGAGGCACACCACTTGTAGACACTTTTCCTCCCAGATTCTCTATTCTTTAAAAATTAATTTTTTTTTTATTTATTATTTTCTTATCTCTTAATATTACAGGTTTTTTCTTAATATTTCAGGTTTTTTGTTTACCTGAATTACTAATAGATGTAAACTAAGCAATTTATGTTCTTTGCTAAGGTTACCTTGATCTTTCCTTTAAATTTTCAGGTTTATGATCAACAGTTAATTCTTTAGAAAGAAAATCATCACCACTTTTGTAAGCAATAGCAGCCCCTGAATCACCAACATGTGCAATGTACAATTTATTGTCTTTAATTATAGCAACCGTGGCAGTGGTTCCACTAGTAGAGTTACTACCATCTCTTCTTTTTGGCCATGTATCTATTGAAAGTAAAAATAAATATTTTTTTATTTAATTTGCTTTTTTTAAAACCAAATCTTAAAACAAAATAAAACTATTATTACTATTATTATTTTATAAGGTTTACAAATCGGATTTGTATAGACATAAATGCCTGTCAACCTTTCATACAAATATGTACGTGGTATATTTTCTAATCTTTAATCATAAATTGTTATTTCTTCTTTTATATAGTTGTCTAGTTTATTTGTGGAATTGCTCAATGATGACGCATTTACAACGTCATCTGGCAGGAAGTTCCATTTGTTGACTACTCATAAGGTGAAAACCCTACACCTGACCTTGATGCTGACCCTAACCAAACCCTCAGATGTTGTAACAGATGTACATATATATATATATATATATATATATATATATATATGTATATATATATATATATATATATATATATATATATATATATATATATATTGTGTTATATATATATATATATATATATTGTGTTATATATATATATATATATTGTGTTATATATATATATATATATATATATATATATATATATATATATATATATATATATATATATATATATATATATATATATATATATATATATATTGTGTTTAGGTAAGTTTATTTAGCGTATTTTTAAATTTTGAAAATATGTCAAAAGCCGTGGTCAAATCGTCAAAAAAGGTTTTTTTGATTCAATAAATTCCGATAAAACCATTGAACAGTTATTTCTCTAGGAGCTAGACCTTTTTAGTAAATTGTACATAATATGGAAATTTTGAATTGTAACCATAAAGTTATCATTTGTAATAACCATATTATATACAGTCTACTTGAAAGATCTAAATTACTAAAAACTCAGTACATTTGATGCTTAATTTAAGATCCTGAAAATTAAAAGTATACATAATATTAAATATCAAATTAAACGTTAAAATAAAAAATAAAATTTTAAACAAAGGTCTATACTCTATACTACTAGTTCTCAGTACTAAATATATTTTTTAGTAAAATAATTCTTTTGACAAAAAAAAATTGTTACTTTTAATTACATCACTTATCAGTCTTAAAGCTAAAACCATTAAAATTATTGAGAATGCATATAAAATCAAATGTTTTTTCAGTATAAAACATTTTTAAATAAAGCATTTTTTTACTTTTGTTAATTTTTTTAATGATTGATTTATTAAGAAACTGGCACAGCAGTGTACATACATCAACTAAACTAAGTAGAACATGCAAGGAGTGCACACAAGTTAAATAAGTAAAACATGCGAGGATTTTACATACATTGACTAAGGTAACACATGGGAGGAACATACTTATATCTAGTGACTTAAATATTCAGTGAATAAAATAATAAATGTGCATTTAATGAAAAAGTATCTTTTTCCATTAAATTTTTTTTAATGAAAAAATATATTTTTTAATTAAAGAAATGAAATATTAAAAACTTCTACTATTTTCTAATTAGTGATACATAATATATTGTACATATTATATCATTCAGTATAAACAACTTGCCTGCAATTCGATACATTTCCCAGTGAGTTTTTATAAAACCATCACGAATTGCATCTTTTACTTTACATGGATCATCATCATGAAATCCAGGTTGTTCAATTATTTTGTTATACAAATAACTTCTCGCATAAACTGATGCTTCCCCGCCTCCATGACCATCAAACACACCAAGAAAGTACGTTTTCTTACCATTAGTTTCTTCAATTTTCACCCGTAGTTCATCCTCCATATAATTTCTCATTCCTCTGTGCTTATCAGAAGAAATCCTTAAACAATTGATAGAAGAATTGAAAGGCATTTTCACCCAAATATTTTTGAGCTCAAAAGTTTATATAGCTTTCGCTTTTTGTGATATGTAAAAAATTTGTTTTGAACATAGTTCGACCTAATACGTAGTCTTTTTAGTATTATGTATCAAAGAACACTAAGAATGAAGTTGTACAAGAAAAATATATTGACATACGATTGGCTAATAGTTGAGAGGTAATTTAAAAGAGCCGTTAATTTATTTAACTAACAAAAGGCCTGCCGAATGGCAAGTCTAACGATCAAAACATCTCTGCTGACGTAACATTTGTAAAATATAAACAATAAAAAACCCAGCTGCGTACTAATGTTCTTATTTCTTTTACAACCTCAAAAGGTATTTAACCTTATATTTCTAAAACAAAACTTTGATAGAGATGACTTAAAAATGTTTATTGTTATAAGTTAAGATTACTTAAAATTGTTTACTGTTATAAAGTTGGTGTAAAAAATTCTAGCAGATCGCCAGGAAAAAACTTTTAAAACGCCATTATTATAAATGTATGTTCATACATAATATGTATGAACATACATTTATAATTTTTTTATTTATACATATTTTTAAAAATAGATATTTTTTTAGATATTAGGATAATATTAGGATATTATCCTAATATCTAAAATCTAAATAAAAAAGGGCTGCATTAAAAATGCTTTACTTTACCTAAACTACGTTGAAAATGACAGTAAATCATAGTATAGCTAGTTTAATTAAAATTAAATGCGTGTACAAACACGTCATTTTAGTGAATGTGGTTTTTAACTTTTTTGCTGACTATTTTGTAACATTGTAACAGGCAATTATTTTAACATTGGACAATGTCAAAAATGCCATGCAAATTTTAGTTTTCTACGTACCTTACCTATGTTAACTTTAACTATGTAAAATCATTTAATTATACAATTTGATGCCTAAAATGTGGTTTAAAAAATTTACTCTGTATATAATAATGTTATGAAATAGAAACAAGTAATATCTTGTTCAAACCAACAAAAAATCTTTTCAATCTAGCAAAGAAGAACTATTTGCTAAAAGATTAAAGTTATGTATATTTTTTGAATATTAACAAGCAAGCGTCAAATACAAACATATTTTTAAATAAATTTATTTTAGAGCTTACATTCCTTGGTTTCTATGACAAATTAATTTAAACAAACGCAAGGTTTATGAAACTGCATGCAGAATACCAACATCGGTTGTGAGCGTTTTCCGTAATCAAAGGTTTGCATGGAATATAAACTAAAAAATAATATTAGTACATTCTAGGGCGAAGATAACAACAACCCGATAAAAAAAAAACCGTCTAATATTGCTCGGTAACTGTCTAACTTCCTATTATTCCTGTTAAGTTCAAGCTACTCCAACGGGACCGTCCCGAAGAGGTCTTCTATAGGGGGGGGGGGGTGTATGTTTTTTTTTGCCAACTAGAAACACCCAAAAAAAAAAAAAGGTCCTCAATATTTGCAATTTGCCAACTATAGTTCAAAACTTGCTTAATGTGCCAACTCAAATGCTTAAATGACAGCTTTGGGGGGGGGGGGGACCCCGACACCCCTTCCTTCGGGACGGCCCTGTACTCCAACTAATCCTGTTGAGTTTATGCCTAATACGGCTTAACTTATTAAGTTCCAATATTCTGATGATTATTGAGTAATCCTAGTAAGTACTTAATAAGTACTTATCAGGATTAAACAAGGGCTCCTAACTATGTGTTTAAAGGTTAAACGTAGATATCCAAGAGGCGCAAATATTATAAGGCACCTAAAAAAAAAAGGTCCTTCATGTATAATATAGGGAAATTTTTATATATAAGGCAGCCCTACATCTATGTCTCCCCCAGGTCCCTAAATTACAGTCCGACCCTGATGTTGTATGTATGTATGTGTGTTTGTTTGTGTATATGTATGTATGTGTACATATTAGGGAGATGCAAACCGGCAGTTTTTGTTTCGAATCGAATCTCGAATCAAAGCAGGTCTTGATTCGCGATTCGAATCACGTTTCGAATCAACATTTTGAAGTCTAAATTTAAGCACTTTTTATTTAACAATATATATTTCAAAATAAAATAAAACAAAATAATTGTATAATCTCTCTATTGATGCTTCTTGCCCTAGTTAACCTTTTTAATAACTGATTAAAAGAGTATTTAAGGATAAATAACGTTATTTTAATAGCGCCAAAGCTATACTTACTATACGTGCGCGTTTGGCGCGTACTGTAAGCGTTTGACGGTAGTTTTGCGCGTTTGGGGTTTGTGTACGCGTTTATATATTGAAAAAAAGCAAATAAAATTCTTTGAAAAAATGTTATTTGAAAGACTTTTAATAAATGAATTTTCTAAAATATAGTTAAAAAAAAAAAAAATTAATAAAATTCCAATAAACTTAACTATAAAAGACAAAACAAAATGAATTAAACTCTTGTAAACATTAAAAAAAAAAATTCCCATTAGAGAAGAAAAAAAATTACTTCGAAAGATTTTTAAACTGCAACAAAGAAAATGCGCTCGTTTTACGCAAATTTTGTTACCTTGAAATGTCATTTTTCCCTAACTATTATAAATAACGCTTTGCGATTTATTTTAATTAGAAGTTCATAAAAATAAGTGTTCATAAAAAAGTAATTTAAGGTTTTTGTAACTATTTATACATCAAATTTAAAAAATGAATAGTAAGAAGAGAAAGTTAAACACATTTAATGACAATTTAAAGAAAATGTTTCCTTTCATAACGCAGATCAAAGATGAGCTCCTCAAATGTACTACTTATCAAAGCCTATTTGACATTAGTAGTCGTGGACGGTCTGCAATTGAAGATCATTGCAAAATCAAACACAAAATGGCATTGGATGCTTCTATATATATATATATATATATATATATATATATATATATATATATATATATATATATATATATATATATATATATATATATATATATATATATATATATATATATATATATATATATATATATATATATATATATATATATATATATATATATATATATATATATATAAATTTGTTATTTAGGTGCCCCAAGAAGAACTAACGATCTTGTCACAGAGCACCACGGAATTGCATTTAACCAGGAAGTTCACACCTCCTTCTTTACCGTGACGCGAAATATGTCCAAAGCTCGTTTCGAACCGCGATCTCCTGCTTATAAGCAAGCGCTCTAACCACTGCGCTATATCGTCACAATATCGTCAAACAAAATCACAAAATTGATGAAGAGTCAGATCTTTAGTCAAAATGAAAAAATATTAACCATTCATAAAGGAACAATTGCATTCTATACAATCAAACACAATCTTTAGCTTTAGAAGTGCTGATTGTGCGTTAAGAAACATTATAATCCAAAATTTGTTTGTGTGCGCACAAAATGTGAAGCAATAATTGTAAACGTTTTCAAGAAATATTGTGAAACTAACTCAGAAAATGCTTTATTAAAAGCATCATATGTGTTTCTCATGCATCAAACCACAAGGACATTAAAATGTAACCAATTTTGGTTTGTTATTTGATGTTAAAGAGGGAGTGCAAATTCAGCTGATTAACATGGATTGTGTAAATGGAGAAACATCAGATATTTTATCAGAAGTTATCTTTAAATGCATTAGTGCCAAAAATATTTCTTTAAAAGTTTTGACTATTTCTGCAGACAACACCAATACCAATTTCGGAGGTTTAAAACGAAACGGTAATAAAAATATTTACAAAAAGTTAATCGTGAAAAAAATCACAAAAAGTTAATCGTGAGCTGAACCGTGAAATCATTGGTATCGGTTGCAATGCTCCTATTTTATCAAACACGATAAACACTGCATCTGGTTGTTTATCTATAATGTGGAGATAAATATTCCTCAAATTTTTTTTTTTTTTTTTTTTACCGTTTTACTGTTAATGACTCTAGTTTACATAATTTCTCTAAGATAATTGCTCTAGTTTAGATAGTTTTTTATAATATAAAAAATTGCCAGGATTCTCAAAAGTTCGTTGTTTGGGCTTACTTCCAGCCATCGAAAGCTTAAGTTATATCAGTTACTAAGATCATACTTTTTGAGCTTTAAAAATTGCCCGAAACTTTTATTTGACTTTTTTAATAACGAAATGGGTGAAATAACACTTTTTTTTTTCACAGTCAAGCCAATGCTTTTTATAACACGGAAAAAAAATTGAGAAAGATTATATTTCTGCTGCTGAAGTTACCATAGTGTAAAAGAATTTGAAAGACTAGATAAAATCTAGAAAAGAAGAAAAGTTTGTACCTCTTATGGTAAGACAGCATTTTCAAATTACCGAAAAGAAAGTATCCATCATTTGAAAAACCACTTTCTGAAAGTAAACATTTTTAAACCTGATTAAAGTGACGCGTCATTTTAATCAGGTTGAAGTTTTTAAATGGTCTTTACTTAACTGTAAAGTTGAATGGATTGAAATTATTGCAATTATAACTTTTTTGAAAAAATCAATAGAAATCATATTCGATGACAATGATTTGTTCGACGAAATTTAGAGTACTAATTTATAATGCACAAAGGAAAAGTTTTCTTCTTGGAACTCACAGTCTGTTGAATGTGACAAGCGATGGGTTGAAATTTTTTCTCATTTCGAAAATAATAACGTTCCTTATAACAATTTGTTAAAATTGGTGGAAACCGCTTTATGTTTGCCAGGTACAAACGCTTCCGTAGAGCGATTATTTTCGTTTACCGATAATATTTGGACGGAAGGGTAATCTCAACTTACATTGAAAACTTTGGCAGTTATTTTGTTTGTTAAACTTAATTTAAGAAAACATAGCTGCTCAGAATTTTCAGAAAAAATTGAAAAAGATGACATGTTGCTGAAAACAATTCATTTTTATAAAAAATATTTGTGATTTAAGAGCGACTTTCTGTAAGAATCAGGCAGAGTTCAATAGTGCCTCTCTTCAAAATTGCTAATTTTTTAATATGTTGTTGCTATTAATATTAGAAGCTCAATTCCAAAATTTTTTCAAAAAATATTAATTGGTTCTCTTGATATTAGATGTC